TGGTTTTCTGTGTGGCCTTTCTCCTTCCCCCACCGTGCGTGAGAGGGGAAGTTGCTACACATTGTTTATCTCAGCTCTGCAGGGGAAGTGTGCAGAGGGCAGGTAGGTGTGTTTCAGGTGGTCTGCCTGCTGCCCTGACGCAGTCCTCTGTGTCACTTGGGTTCTGCTCTGGGGTCACCTCTTGTGGATATCCTCCTGATCACTGTGTCCTGAACAGTCCCCCATCCTCCCAGGTCTCTGCTAACTCCTTCCTAAGCCTGCACCATCTGACTTGGTCCTATTACCTCTTGCTGTTCCCCATCAGACATGCACACCATGATGACAGGGACCTTGTATGTCTTATGTGTCCTGAGTCCAAAGCGGCAAGCCAGGGATACTGCAGGTGCTCAGGTGGCTCACCGAAGCGTATAACCTCACCTCTCCATTTTAAAGAAGCCAAGAGGCTCATGGAGGGCAAGCTACTTGCTTGAGTTTGCACAGCCAGCTTGGACTCAGTTCCAGTGAATTTGGAAGTTATCTCTTTCTGTCTGAGAAAGGGAGAGGTGAGGATCTACCAGCAGGTAGCACACATGAGAGTCTAAAGGCATAGTAGCACGCATGACTGTAATCCCAGCACTCGGGAGACTGGGATTAGGCTGTGTGTGTGTGTGTGTGTGTGTGTGTGTGTGTGTGTGTGTGTGTGTGTGCATGTCTGGTGTGACTATGTGGAGGTCAGAAGACAACTTGTAGGAACTGGTTCTCACCTTCCTAGGTCCCAGGCTTGAAGGCAGGTCATCAGGCTTGGGGACAAGTGGCTTCACATACTCAACCATCTCACTGGCCCATGCTCAGCTTTTTCCAGGGGTGCTGGGGACTCAAACTCAGGTAGCCCCTTACGCTTGCTGAGTAAGCACTCTTACCCACTGAACCATCTCCCCCACCACATCCATTTGGTTTTGTATTAATGTGGGTTTTACCGATCGAACTCAGCTCCTCACACTTGTAAGGCAAACACATAACCTGCAGAACTGTGCTCCAGCCTGTCCCTGACCTGCAGAGCTGTGCCCCAGCCCTGTCCCTGACCTGCAGAGCTGTGTCCCAGCCCTGTCCCTGACCTGCAGAGCTGTGTCCCAGCCCTGTCCCTGACCTGCAGAGCTGTGTCCCAGCCCTGTCCCTGACCTGCAGAGCTGTGCCCCAGCCCTGTCCCTGACCTGCAGAGCTGTGTCCCAGTCTGTCCCTGACCTGCAGAGCTGTGTCCCAGCCCTGTCCCTGACCTGCAGAGCTGTGTCCCAGCCCTGTCCCTGACCTGCAGAGCTGTGTCCCAGCCCTGTCCCTGACCTGCAGAGCTGTGCCCCAGCCCTGTCCCTGACCTGCAGAGCTGTGTCCCAGTCTGTCCCTGACCTGCAGAGCTGTGTCCCAGCCCTGTCCCTGACCTGCAGAGCTGTGTCCCAGTCTGTCCCTGACCTGCAGAGCTGTGTCCCAGCCCTGTCCCTGACCTGCAGAGCTGTGTCCCAGCCCTGTCCCTGACCTGCAGAGCTGTGTCCCAGCCCTGTCCCTGACCTGCAGAGCTGTGCCCCAGCCCTGTCCCTGACCTGCAGAGCTGTGTCCCAGCCTGTCCCTGACCTGCAGAGCTGTGTCCCAGCCTGTCCCTGGATTTGTCTGATAGAATTCTCAGGAAGCCTGTGTATCAGCTCTGAAGACTGAGGCTCGGGGTGAGGGGCAGGCCTCCTGGAAATGAATGGAAACACATGAACTATGAACCAATGGCTGAGGGGTCCCCACTGGATCAGGCCCTCTGAATGGGTGAGACAGTTGATTGGCTTGATCTATTTGGGAGGCATCTAGGCAGTGGGACCGGGTCCTGTGCTCATTGCATGAGTTGGCTGTTTGAAACCTGGGGCCTATGCAGGATCGCTTGGCTCGGCCTGGGAGGAGGGGACTGGACCTACCTGGACTGAGTCTACCAGGTTGATCTCAGTCTGTGGGGAAGGCTTTGCTCTGGAGGAGATGGGAATGGGGGGGTTGGGGGGAAGGTGAGGGGGACGGGAGGGGGGAGAACAAGGGAATTCGTGGCTGATATGTAGAACTGAATTGTATTGCAAAATAAAAAAAAAAAAAAAAAAGAATTCTCAGGAAGCCTGTGTATCAGCTCTGAAGACTGAGGCTCGGGGTGAGGGGCAGGCCTCCTGGAACTGACTGTAATTATTGATGCTGTTGATGTGGGTTTTACGGATTGAACTCAGCTCCTCACACTTATAAGGCAAACAAGTGTTTGCTGGGTGGAGGGAGAGGACGTGTGCTCCAGAACAAGGCTCCCCTCCCCTTGTCTCTCTCTGGGAATGTCCTATAAGCCTGGCTTGTACCATTTCCCTCCCTGGAAGAAAACTCCAAGCTGAGGGCTTAGCATAAGGACATGCCCCATGTCTGCCTTCCTAACCCCTCCTGCCACTGGGCCCTGGAATCTGATGGACATTGCCTAAAGGGGCCCTCAGTCACAGCCACACTGCTCAAGGCTTCAGTGTAGCCACATCTGTCTTCCCAACCTGGTCTTCCTGAAGTCTTCATGATCCTCCACACTGGTGACCTCAGCACCTGTCAAAGACCTGAGGACCCACTTGGGCCCCTCAGTGCCCCTCCACAATCTGTCCTTGGAGACTTTCTTTGTCCCTGTTGCAAAGTCACCTCCTGGGCTGGAGCAACAGCTCTGTGGTTAAGAGCGCTGGCAGCTTCTGCAGAGGACCAGAGTTCAGTTTCTGGCACCCACATCAGGTGCCTCACAACTGCCTGTAACTCCCCATTTCTGACCGCTCTGGACTCCTGCGCCCACATGCACAAACCCACACACAGATACACATGTACACAATAATTAAAAATGAAATTTTATAAAAAAAAAAAAACAAAACTCAATTTCTCCAGGAAGACTAATTTGACTACTGGCCTAAATCAGGACCTCACCTGCAGACCAGGTTCGCTTTGTGCATGTATGTGTGCATGTGTGTGTGTGCCTGTGTGTATGTGTGTGCGCGTGCCTGTGTGTGTGTGCACACATTCCTTTGTGTGTGGGTGAAGGCACATACATTGTTCCCGTGGAGACCAGAGGACATACCCTCATGTCACTTCCAACTTTTGTTTGAGTCTTTGGAATTTCCATATATAGGTCAGGCTAGCTGGCCACTGAGCTCCTCAACATCTGTCCATCTTCACCTCCCACCTGGCCATGTAATGACTGGGATTACAGATGTGTGCCGTTGCACATGACTTTTTATGTGGGTCCTGGGGATCCAAACTAACTCCTCACAATTGCCAGGCAACTAGTTTGCTGACTGATCTATCTCTCCAGCCAGACCTCTTCATTTATTTGATTTATTTCTTGTTGTTGTTGCCTTTAAAATATTTTATTCATTTATTTTTGAGACAGAGTCTCACCATCTAGCCCTGGCTGACCTAGAACTCACTATGTAGATCAAGCTAGCTTCGAACTCACAAGATCTGCCTGCCTCTGCCTCCAGAGTGTTGGGATTAAAGTGGTGGGCTGCGGTGGTTTAAATAAGAATGGCCCCCATAGGCTCATATGTTTGAAAGCTTAATCACCAGGGAGTGTCACCATCTGGAAAGATTATAATGGTTAGTGTGTCACTGGAGGTAGGCTTTGGGGTTTCAAAAGCCAGGCCCAGCCTCTTTCTCTCTCTCTCTCTCTCTCTCTCTCTCTCTCTCTCTCTCTCTCTCTCCCTCCCTCCCTGCTGCCTGCAGGATTTAAATCTCTCAGCTACTGCTCCAGCGCCATGCCTGCCACCATGCCCCCCCCCCCCATGATGATCATGGACTAACCTCTGAAACTGTAAGCCAGCCCTAGTTAAAATGCTTTATTTTATAAGAGTTGCCTTGGTCATGGTGTCTCTTCACAGCAATAGAACCGTGACTAAGACATGGACTGCCATGTCAGGCAAGGTTTTATTTTAAATTGTGTGTTTGTGTCTCTGTGTAGGTTACGTGTATGTAAGTGTGGGTACCCGAGGAGGCCATGGGAAAGCTGGAATTCCAGTACAGGCTCTCGCTGTAGCCCAAGTTGGCCTTGAACTACATTCCTTTCTTAGCCTCTCAAGGGCTTGGATGGCAGGCATATGGCACTGTGACTCTGTTGAGGGCAACAGTCACCGGACCTCCGGCTGGCTGGGCTGGAGGTGGTACTGGGGATGTAGAGGAAGCTGTCTCCCCTCGCTTTTCTCAGCAGCTGCGTTGGAGCCCATCCTTCCAGACTCCCTCTGGACCACCCTTCAGGAGGGCCAGGAGAGAAGGAGGCAATCTGTGGACAGAGCATCCTGGGAAGGGAGGAGAAGCAGGGGGCCATTGAAGGGCCTCAGGATGCTTCTGGTGTGTGGCCATGTGATCCCAGCACTATAAATGTCCCTACATTGACAGTGCACTGTGCTCCGTAGGGTAAAACAGCTGTGGAGAGGGAAAAGCTTTGGGCTTTAGGTTCTGACAAGCCTGAGATCTTTTTATTTATTTGTTTATTTATTTGTTTATTTGTTTATTTGTTTATTTATTTATTTATTTATTTCTGAGCTGTGCAACTTGGGTTAGACGCTTGCCCTCTCTGAGCCTCCCCTTGCTTTCCCGTTGATATTCAGGACTCTAGAGCAGACTGCTTAGAGTGTGGAGGGAAATAGGCCTTGTGAGGATGCTGGGCACCTGAAGAAAGCAGACAGTTTATGCAGACTAGTGTGTAGACTAGCCTGGGCACAGGAGGCAGGATGAGGACCCTAGGCACGGTGGGAGGACTTTCCTCACACTCTTACACAGAGCAGAGCCCTAGTTCACAGGCCCCATAGTGGTGGCCAGCCTGTTTCCTCATACCCTTTCTTTGGGGCTCTATCTCTGTTGATCTGCCCACTGCTTCCTCTAAAGCCCCCCCATGAGAGGTGTGAAGTCCCGAGGACCCAGTGCTCATCTGTGTGACCCTGAGTGTGGGGTCCTGATTGGTTCTCCTCTGCTCCAGGCTGGCTCCGCCCCCGTGTGGGCCATCTACCCAGACAGAAGGAGGCAGCAGGGCCTGCAAGGCATAGGCTGGCCCAACCCAGACTCCTCCAGCCACCCCTGGTCAGGAGTCAGAGAAGGTGAGAGAAGGGCTTGGGGAACAGAGTGGCCCTGAGAGAAGGTACCAGCCTGGGGCCGGTGGGATGAGGGGTCCCAGCCGGGGCGGGGAGGGGCTGTCCTAGGCTGGGGCAGGACAGGAAGTCGGCATCAGGTGTTGATTTCTCGCTCACAGTCCCCGGCCCCCGGTCTATGACTAGGACTCAGATCAGTCTCTTTCCTCCTCCGCCTCATTCTTCCTCTTCTTCTCCGCCTTCTTGTCTGCCCCCTGCATTGCCCTGGGTCTCCCTACCTTCCCAGGCCTTATCCCCACCCTTTAATCCCCTGCTCCTGTCCATTGTCCCTGGACACCCCTGTCCCTTTCCCGTGCCCCAGGATCTCACCTTGTGTCCATTTGCCCTGCAGGATGCTACAGCTGAGCCTGTCCTGGCTGGGCCTGGGGCCTGCAACAGCTTCCCTGTGGCTGTTCCTACCCCTGGCTGGGGCCTCCTGCCTCCTGGCTTACATCCTGAGCCAGGCTCACGCTGTCTATGAGATCTCCCATCGCCTTCGCTGTTTCCCTCAGCCCCCCAAACGAAACTGGCTCTTGGGTCACCTGGGCCTGGTGAGTGTGGCAGGGAGGTGGGCCTGGGGTTTCAGGGTGGAAGGAATTGTGAGGAGCTTGGAATGGGAACAGGGATGGGCTGAATCACACACATCGTTCCGAAGAAAAGGTTCTGAGCCTTTCCCACCCGGAATAGGTTTCTCTGCATCCATCTCCAGCTGACTTCCACACAGATGGCCATGCTGCAGGGCTCCCAGCCTGGGCTCCACAGACTGAGGACCCTGGTGTTCTCAGGCTGTCTGTGCTGGCCTTGAAGCCTCCTGAGGGGAGATCAGGGCCAGTCCTCTGCCTCTACCCCATCTTTTCATCTCTAGTCTCCCACTGGTCACAGAAATGAGCTGCAGCCCACCGAGGCACTCCCAGGGGGGTGGCTGGGCCAGGGGAGCTCCGGGGTCTGATTTCCCACTTCCTCCAGCCTCTTCCTCTTATGTCTGGCTTCTCAACTGAGATGTACCAAAGAGCTAGCCCTGTTGCTCAATCTAGATATGAGCTGGCCACTCACTTCCCCTTTCAGACGCCTTCCCAGAATCCATCCTTCATGCCACACCTTGAACGTTGACTTAGAGCTGCTTTTCCCTCTGGGTGATTTGGTGACATTTGTTTTTCCTTGTAAATGGCATGGTGCCAGGGGTGCAGGGGTTCAGCTGGACCACACACAGGCTGTTCTGCCAGGGCCTGGTGTCAGTAGATGACAGGTGAGAGCTGCCACCCTGATGGAGACTTAGGTGACACCTCTGCTACCTTGGGGTCTGTCAAGGCTTCCTTGCAGGAGGAAACAGAGGCTACGTGGGTGGCAAGCTAACTTTTCCTGAGTAGATGTGAACAAGTAACATTGTTCCTCAGTAACAAGCCCACCAGTGTCCAGCTCTGTGAGAACAATGGGCTTATCTGGTGCTTTTACAGAGAACAGGAGAGCGGTTACTTACAGGATCATGGGTGACCCTCAAACAGCTCTATCATTGTAAGATCTCAACCACCCTGGGTGACAACTTCATGGAAGCTGCACCATAGAGTCTTAAAAACCCTCCTTTTCCGGTACACTCTAGCATATCCTAAGATCACTTGCTGCTGGAGGAGAGAGTCATAGCTGGAGTACCAGAAAAGGGTCTCCCCTGGAGTCTAATGACTCCATCACCATTACCATTGGCCTGGCTACTACTCCAGTGTTCTGCTATAGTTGCCATGACTACCAGGAAATGCTGAAAATGACATCCTCTTAGGCCTGGAGGGAAAAGTGCCATATAAAAATGGGCCACCTAGACCATGGAGGGATATGGGATACCTTGGGGACAGGTCCTGAGACCACACTTCCACCCACTATCTCCCCATGGGAGTTTTCTCTTGTGGTGGCCTCTGATGCTGGGACTGCTCCCAGGGTGAGAGAATCCACATTCCAAAGCCAAGGTGGACATCGTGGTGTTGAGAGACTTGAGGAAACATGGACTAACTTCTGCTCATCCAGGATGAGGCTGATGACGTCTTGTGTGTTTCTACTTTCAGACCCCTTTGGAGTCTCCTGAGCACCCCCAACCCCAGTTTCCCAGAGGGAATGTTCCAATTTAGAGAAAATTGTTATACAACATATACTTGCTGGATGCCCAGTGCCCAGCTGGTGACACTCGTTTGAAGGTTCTGGAAACTTCAGGAGGCAGGGTGTAGTTGGAAGATATAGATCATTAGGGACAGCTTCTTGGGGATTTCTTGTCCTCTCTCCTTTCTTATCTCTTTTTGCACCCTGTCCACGTGAGATAAAGAACTCCCCTACCATAGGCTCCTGCCGCCATGAGGTGAAACATCGAGTGGGTGGGCCGAGCAGCCATAGACTAAATGCTCTGAAACCTTGAGCAAAGAAAGGCCTTCCTCCTGTCACCTCTTCTTTCAGGGACTCTGCTCACAGGCTTGTAAAAATAACTCACACAGAGATTAGTGGGTAGGTCTGGAGGAACTCAAAAGTCCAGAATCTGGTGAGAATTCAGACAGTAATGACTCCACTTATGAGGTGATGACTGTGCCCATGAGGTGATGACTGTGCCCATGAGGTAATGACTGTGCCCATGAGGTAATGACTGTGTCCATGAGGTAATGACTGTGCCCATGAGGTAATGACTGTGCCCATGAGGTAATGACTGTGCCCATGAGGTAATACTGTGCCCATGAGGTAATGACTGTGCCCATGAGGTAATACTGTGCCCATGAGGTAATAATGACTGTGTCCATGAGGTAATGACTGTGCTTATGACAAAATGACTGTACCTATGAGGTAATTACTGTGCTCATGAGTCTTTAGATGGGAAAAAACACTGCTGGTAGTTGGAGTAGAGGCCACCTGTTCTGTGGAATTTTCCTCCAAATTGCAACATTCCTTCCAAATTGAAACATTTGCTCCAGAAAGAAAAGGGGAGCTCAAGAGCCTCAAGGGGAGCAGAAGCTTAGGAGATTCTTGAGGACCTTAAGCCAACAGTATAAAAGAGGCAAACGCATAAAGAAAGATATTTGGGCTGTGGAGTGGCCTGTAAGCTCTAAAGAGAGCTCCAGGGTTGCTTTGTTTTTCAGGAATTTTTTGGTGTGGGGTGCAATCACCCATGTTTGGGTGGGTTTCCTAGCAATGCAGCTGCTTTTGAGTCATCCCTGTAAGTAAGTGCCTTCCCACAATTCTGTTAGTAATCCCAATAAATTGTCAGACACCCGTGCAATTGTTACTTTTGGTCTGTCATGGTGAGTAGGGGTGTGTGTTGTGTCTTCCCAGGGAGACTGTCACACACACATTTGGTCACACACACCTTCCCAGGGAGACTGTCACACACATATTCGGTCACACACACCTTCCCATGGAGACTCTGTCACACGTACATTCTGTCACACACACCTTCCCAGGGAGACTCTGTCACACACCTTCCCAGGGAGACTCTGTCACACACACATTCGGTCACACACACCTTTCCAGGGAGACTCTGTCACACACACTGGCAAAGAACTTAGGGACATTTTGTTCCTGCTCTGAGACTTTGTGGGAGTCTCTGTTTAAAGATTTTATTTATTTATTTATGTGTGTGTGTGTGTGTGTGTGTGTGTGTGTGTGTGTGTGCGCACAGTGCCCAGGGAGAGGCCAGAAGAGGGTGTTGCATCCCCTGGAGCTGGAATTGGAGGCAGGTGTGAGCTGCCCCATGTGGGTGCAAAGAACCAAACTTGGGTCCTCTGCAAGAGCAACAAGTGCTCGGAATTACCGAGCTGTCTCTCCAGCCTCAAAGCTGTGTTTAAAATGTCAAACTAGTTCATTTGACAGAAGGAATTTCAAAGTAGCAGATTTTTCAGGCTGTTGCATGGTATTGATGTTTGTTTTTAGATGTGTTTATACTGAGAATTAGGAGCAAAATGTAGGACAGAATAACACAAAAAAATTATTAGTTTGGCAAAAAAAGGGGGGAACACTTGAAAGCTGGGGCTACACTGTCACTGATGGGGTCAGGAGCACTGAGAGGCCTTGGAGAGGTGGCTCAGTGGTTGAGCTCACTGGCTGCTTTCGCAGAGAACATGATTCACTTCCCAGCACCCACACTGGGCAGCTCACAACCACCTATAACTTCAGTTCCAGGATCTAACATCCTCTTCTGGCTTCTGCATGTACTGCACTCATGTGTATAACACACACACACACACACACACACACACACACACACACACACACACACACATGCATATTGTAATGAAGTCTTGACTGTTAACTTGACACACCATGGAAGAAGAAATCTTAATTAAAAAATTGCCTCTATCAGACTGGCCTATGGACATGTCTGATGTCTGTGGGCGTATTTTCTGATTGTTAATTGATGCAGGAGAGCCCAGACCACTGTGGGCGGCACCATCCCTACACAGGTGGACCCAAGCAGTCTAAGAAAGACAGATAAATACAAGCTAGTGAGCAAACCAGAGTGAGCCAGTGAGCAGTGTTCCTCCATAGTTCTTGCCTCTAGGTTCCTGCTTGAGTTCCTGCCTTGACTTCCCTCAGTAATGGACTATGACCTGGAAGTATAAGTCAGAGTTGCCTTTGGTCAGGGTGTTTTTATCACAGTAACATTAAAACTAGAACAGGATCAGGCCATGAAATGTTGCTGCACCCCAAAGACTGAGTCCTTCTACAGCAATTAACAATCAAGACAACGCCCTGCAGGTATGCCTGTAATGATGAGTCCTAGAGATTCAGGTCTACAAGAGAGCTCACTGCCCCCTGGAGTTCCCATAAATGGCCCTCACAAGGCAAAGTCTGCACTAAGTCTCTGTGACTCTGGGGATCCACAGTCCCAGGCTCAGGTCTCAGCCATGCCGCTTGCTATGTGGAAAACTGTGAGGTACAACTGTTTCCATATGGAAGACGGGATGGAGGAGAACCCGGGTTAATACGGTATTCAGGGTTCTTGGGGGATGGCTTAGTCAGTGAGGTGCTTGGTGCACAAGCGTGACCCCAGCACTGGGGACGTGCAGACAGCTGGGTCCCCGGAGCTCACTGGCTCACCGGCCTAGCCCAGTCAGTGAGCCTCAGGCCACTGAGAGATTCTGTCTCAAGAAAACAAAGTTGGGGCTGGTGAGATGACTCATCAGGTAAAGGCGATTGCTGCCAAGCCTGGCAATCTGAGTTCAATTCCAGGGATCCACACGGTGGAAGGAGAGAACCAACTCCTGCAAGTTATCCTCTGACCTCTACAATGTACACCATAGCACTTGATGTCCCACAAATAAATAGAAAGTAATAAAAAAAAACAAATTAGATGATACCTGAGGTTGACCTCTGGCCTCCATACTCACATACACATGATCATGTGCACATGTGCACTCACTCAAGCATGCACACAAGGCAAAATAAAATAAAATAAAATAAAATAAAATAAAATAAAATAAAATAAAATAAAATACAGTGTTTAGGATACTAAGTGAGGATATATCTTCTGTCCCAAGACTCAGGATGGGGGACCTGGGCAAGGCTCAGCAGTGTGGATGAAGTCCTGGATGGAATCCCTGGGACTCCCTGTGGCTCCCTACCCTACCTGTTACCTCTGGCAGCCCAGAGAAGCAAACACCAGGTGGGTCCTTCTCTTCTATAGATCCAGAGCTCGGAGGAAGGGCTCCTGTACGTCCAGAGCCTGGTGCGGACCTTCAGGGATGTGTGCTGCTGGTGGGTGGGGCCATGGCAACCCGTCATCTGCATATTCCACCCTGCCTTCATCAAGCCTGTGCTCTTGGCTCCAGGTAGACACCATGCTGGTCCCAGCTTGCACACCCGTGAGTCTCAGATGTCCTCAGTGTGGTCAGGAAGGGCTGTGGTAGAAATGCCCCTGCCCTTGTCTCATTTGGACCCACCTGACTCACCTGTGGTCATTTGGCCCCTGTCTGGAGCATTCCATGTGGTATCTTCCAGATGCTTCTATGTTTCTGGTGTGTGCTGGTGGCTGCGCCTGGTTCCCACCCGGATTTATATGACAATGGTTTTCTCTGGGGCCACAGACAATTGGGACGCATTGGCTTCTGCCTGGCTCTCGTCTGAGGTGTTGTTAGAAACTGTCTTTTTCTCCTGGCTTTGTCTATGTCCTGCTTGGAGTGTCTGAAGTCTGGGACCAGGGGCTTTCAGAGATATGACTGAGACAGACCTTTTGAGAAAAATCTGAGTAGTGTTGAAGCCTGTGTAGGTTACATCAGGGACGTTAACTTTAGTATTATTTTTACATTTATTTATATGCGCATGTGTGTGTACTACAGAGCAAGGGCAGAGGTCAGAGGACAAGTTGGGAAGCCATTTCTCTTCGTCCTAGCCATTGAACTCAGGTCATCAGGCTAAGTGGCAAGCACCTTTACCTACTGGGCCATCTTGCTGCTCCCAAAATGAACTTTTCCCCTCTAAAACTCTATTTCCCTAAACACTATATTTTATTGTATTTTCATTGTGTAGCTCTGGCTAGCCTGGAACTTACTATGCAGACGAGGCTGGCCTGGAACTCACAGAGTTCCACCTGCCTCTCTCTCTCCAGAATGCTGGGATTAAAGGCGTGCTCCCTCATGCCTGGCCCAGAAATGGACTTTTAAATCTCATCCGGGGCCTATCAATGGGACATGCTGAGGTGTGCCTGACCATCTGTGTCACAGTCAGGGCAGGTCACGTGTACTTCAGTCACGTTAGCCTATGTATGTCTGTGTGTGTCACATGACTATGCCAGGCGATGTCAGCACATGCTGGAGCGGATAGGAGCGGTGGGTCTCTATAAAGGTCTGCAGAATGTGATGCTGTGCTTGGCAGGGGAAACATGTTCAGCCATGTAGTAGCTGTGTGAAGGTGTGCTGAAGTATGTGTGTCATGTCAGGCTGAGTCCTCCCTGAACCCTCTGCCCCTGCCCCTAACCCTACCGTGTGGAGTTGGAGGGGAGTGTGCAGATCCCAGGCTAAGGGCCCCATCCCTTCCATGCCCTCCCTCCCGCCATGGCTCCTGATGGTCCTTGTTCACACCAGCTTCAGTTGCTCCCAAGGACACAGTCTTCTACAGTTTTCTGAAGCCCTGGCTGGGTGAGTACCAACAGGTGAGAGGCTGGGAACACCCTCGGGGGCCGGGGGTGGGGGCCAGGGGGTCGGGGTGAGGGTGCTCTCCTTTCCTACTGCCGAGCTGCTTTATTAGGAGATAGCCTCTTAATGAGTGCTGGTGACAAGTGGAGCCGCCACCGGCGCATGCTGACGCCCGCCTTCCATTTCAACATCCTGAAGCCATATGTGAAGATTTTCAACGCCAGCACCAACATCATGCATGTGAGTCCCTGGAACCCAGGTCCCCAGCTGGAGCCTGGGGGACAAAGGGCTGTAGACAGGTCTGGTCTCCAGTCCCTGCTCAGATGGAGGCGGTGATAAAATACCCAGCAGAAGCAACTTAAGGGAAGAAGTCGCTTTGCTTCACGCTCCATCGTTTGGGGGAGTCACAGTGGCAGAAGCGTAGTCAGGAAGCAAAGAGGGATGAGTGCTGGCGCTTGTAGATGTAACCAACCGTCTTATTAAATAAGAAACACAGAGCCGATTCAGAGAAGAAAGCCAAGAGGTCAGAACTAAGATCCTCACCCTTCCTGCTTCAGTCAAGAGAGCTCTCCGAAAGGGACCTACTTCCTGTGTGTATGTCTTTATATAGTCTAGCTGTTCTGCCTTCTCATTGGTTGTAAACCCAAACACGTGACTGCCTCGTCACTGCCTGTCTGTACAGCCCTCCAGGTCCTCTATGGCATTGAGATTAAAGGCGTGCGCCACCGCCGCCATGCACTTGCTATGGCTCTAATAGCTCTGACCCCCAGACAACTTTATTTATTAACATACAATTAAAATCACATTTCAGTACAAGTAAAATGCCACCACAGGCGCTCAGCTCACTTTCTCCTTTTTGTACAGCCAAGGACGCCGCTGGCCTACCTGCTTTCAGGGTGGCCCATTGCCCTTCAGTTAACCTCAGCCTTCTAGTTTCTCTTCTGCTGCTGTGATAGAATTCCCAGACAAAAAAGTGACTGAGGTGTCACTGAACGTGTCATGGCCATGGTCAAGAGCAGAGAGAAGAAACGCAAGGATCCCTGCTCACCCACAGCCAGTTTTCGCCTCTCTGTTCAGTCCAGGAACCTCTGTCTAGGGAATGGTGCCACTCACAGTGGGATGGGTTTTCCTGAATCAATTAACCGTTGAGATAATCCCCCAGACACATGTCCACAGGCTAACCTGATCTAGAAAACACCTCATGGAGTGATTCTCTTCCCAGGTGATTCTAACTGTGTCAAGTGGACAGTCAAAACTAGTCAACACATCAGATAACCCCTTCCAGGCACGCACAAAGGGTAACCTAACACAGATAATCCCTCAGAAGAATGCCCGGAAGCTTGTCTCCTAGGTAACTCCAGATCTTGTGAGGTTGGCAATCAACATTAATCATCACAGAGGGTTTGTATGTTCGCATGTGTGTGCATGTAGAGGCCCAAGCTTGATGTTGGAAGTCTTCATCCATCTCTCTCAGCCTGACTCATTGAGGCAGGGTCTCTCAATCAAACCCAGAGCTCATGGATACAGCTAGTCTCTCTAGCCAGCTGTACTGGGGGTCCTGTCTCTTCCTCTTGCGTGCTGGGATTAAAGGCATGAGTGGTCGTGCCAGGCTGGGATCTTCTGTGATAGCAAACAAGGAAGCCTGGGGTCACTGCTGCCCTCTGAGCTGTCCTTTGCAAACACATCTGAGAAATGGCCCAGGTGAGAAATAATAGGACAGTGAATTATTGGTATTCCTAGAAAAGATTCTCATGATCAGGGACAGTAAACTCTCACATACTACAGGTGTGTGTGTGTGTGTGTGTGTGTGTGTGTGTGTGTGTGTGTGTGTGTGTACACCTGTGTGTGTGTGCATGTATACCTGTGTGTTTGTGCTGGGGTCCAGCCTCACTTCAGGTTCAGGTCCTGAGGCAGGGAAGGGGCGTTGGTGCAAGGAAAACTTCTGACCACCAAGTGGATTGCACTCAAGTGGCCATGAATAGCTCAGGCCATCTTTATTTATACTTAGAGTTTTTCTTACCATGGTTACATGTACAGCTTTATTATCAGTTCTCATTTTTTAATTTGAAGAAATACATCATAATTTAAGGAATACATCGTGATCATTATGAAAGCCCCCATTGTTCCCCTTTATGCTTCCCCAAATACACCTTCCCACCCCCTACATAACTTTATTCTAGACATAGGGTTCAGCATTTTTGGGAGCCTTAACTAAATATCAAGTCAGACACATCCTGCTCTCACAACACTTACATCAGCTGGCAGCTACTTGTGGTTACAAAAGTAAAAAGTAATAGACCTGGGTGCAATACTTAAAGCAATATTCAAACCAGACAATTCTTTCAAGATATATTTTTATACAGTTCCCTTTACTACAAGAGGGTGCCATGTCTCAATCTTTCTGTAAAAGGCAGACCTTGATAAAGCACACTTGTCCCATGCCACTACACCATACTTCTTCCACCAATATAAGCCCCTGTGTATGGTAAAGGTGGATCTATCCACCCCACATTTTGCATTGTATTTTTTCCTCTTAGAGCATACCAGATCCTACCAATGATTCTATGCTTGGTGTCCAGGGAACTTACTCTCAACAGTTGGCACCATGTGTATTCCCGAGGCTTTCTCCCTAGCCTGTGTATGCATGCCCTTTCCCGAACTGTGAGACATGATTAATGTTCCAAGTGTTGTGTTCTCGTATGTACCTAACTGTCTCCATTGAGTCAGAAAAGTTCCCAGGATTGGGAGTTGTAATTAGCAATTCCAGATAAAAAAAATTTAAGAAGCATTAACCCCCTGCTGAATCTTAGGGGAAATATTTGAAAAAGAGCAGAATTTCCAGGGAAAATTACAGCTGTTGCGTGTGTGACTGACAAATAAAACTAAAAACCACCCGAAGAATCACCAATGTAATGGGAGAGAAAAGAGCCTGCAAGCTGCATGAATTTTGCAAATTCCTCTGCTGTCCTGTGGACTACTGGTCCTTGCCAAGTGAGAGTCCATTTCCATGGGTACCTTGCCCTGAGGAAACCCACTGGATAAGTAGTCATGTGTTGATCCGAGACTAGGCTGCCCTGCTCCCAACATGTGTGTGTGCAGACACACCTGTGTGTGTGTGTGTGTGTGTGTGTGTGTGTGTGTGTGTGTGTATGTGTAGATCAGAGGTCAACCGTGGGTATCCTTCCTTAGTTACCATTCTCCTTGCTTTTTTGACACAGGGTCTTTTATTACCTGGAGCTCAACAATTTGGCCAGGCCGGCTAGCTGTTGAGTCCTAGGGACCCTCCTGTCTCCACATCTCTGGGCCAAGGATTACAGGTGCATGCCACCATGACCACTTTATTTTTTTAACATGGGTTCTGGGAATTGAACTCAGATCCTTATGCTAGAGTGGCAAGCACTTTTCTGACTGAGCCACATGACCAGAATTGGTTTTTTGAGACAGGGTTTCTCTGTGTAGTTTTGGTGCTTGTCCTGGAGCTCGCTTTGTAGACCAGGCTGGCCTCGAACTCACAGAGATCTGGCTGGCTCTGCCTCCCGAGTGCTGGGATTAAAGGTGTGTGCCACCACCGCCTGATATTTTTGAAATAAATTTATAACAGCGAAGATCAAGAAAGCTAGCACCGACTGAACACCTTGTGTGTCAAACATGGTCTCACATGCCGATTCTGTAATTATCCCCTGTCTGCTTTTACTTTCACAAGCTTGTGAAGTAGAGGGTAGTGCTTCCCAGTGAGGGCGACCCTGAAGGTCTGACAAATCAGGGAGCTTGTTCAAGTCCACCCAGTTAAAGATGTGATCTGTGGATGGTGGGGTACCAGCTCTATCTTAGTATGGCACACAGCAAATCAAGTCAAATCAGAGGCTGTTTTGGGGGGCTCCTTTTTGGTGACTGCGGTTGGGAAGAGGCTCAAAGTGCCAAGGCCCAGCCCATCCCTGTCCCCTTCTCTGGCCAGGCCAAGTGGCAGCGCCTAGCCTCCAAGGGAAGTGCCCGCCTGGACATGTTTGAACACATCAGCCTCATGACGCTGGACAGTCTGCAGAAGTGTGTCTTCAGCTTCAACAGCAACTGTCAGGAGTGAGTCCCTGTCCTGGCCTGGGAACATGGCCCCTAGACACAAGGGAGTGGGGAATGGCTAGAGGGAGCAGAACGGCCTTCCTGGAGGAGGTGGCTCAGAAGTAGCATTAGAGGACCTGGGAGGGGAGAGACTGAGTGGTCCTTCCTGGAGGTGCAGTTGTTCAGATGATGGCCTGGAGATGCGGGTTTGCACCCAGCTGTGAGGAAGTGCCTTGAAGATGAGGGTGTCAGGGGAGATGGTGGCTCAATTCTAAGGACCTTGAAAAGCTAGGCCAAGGGATGTGAACTCCATTATGAGATTTCCAGGAAACCACTGAAGGTGTTTGAGTTTGCAATAGTCAGTTTTCTCCCACTGTAACAAAGTATCTGAGACAATCAACCTCAAGAGAAAAAAGGATTTTTTGAGCCCAGGGTTTCAATCAGTGAAACCCAAGAGGCTTTAGTCAGTGATCAGTTGGCTCCTGGGATGAGGCAGTACCTCAAAGTTAGAGCATGGAGGAGAGAGAACTTTTCAAAGTAAAGAGAGAGGTGGTAGAGGGGCTCATCAGTCCCCACCTAGGGCTACAGTTCCTGGGACTCTGCAGGCATGTTGTGTGACAGTTATCTGAGGAGATGTAAACAAACATCTTCTCACCCCAGGTAGGGAGACTGTGACAGACCCAAGTATGGACACCACCAATGTCCAACTTGGTGAACCAATGAGTTCTATTGGGGTCACTTACAGAAGCAGAAATGACTCAAAGACAGTGGCATCACCAAAGTCGGCCAGCATGGGTGACAGCTCACAGAGCTGGAAGCCCAGAGCTCTCTGCAGCTCTACAGGCCAGAGCGTCTCCTCTCTCCAGCAGTCCTTACTACTTATGTAACTCTGGGGAAGGAGGAGCCTCGTGAACCTGATGAGTTTCAGGGATTTCCTGAGACTAGAGTTGTTTACTTCCTGAGTCTTAATGAATCTTGCTCCAGGATGGAATGTTTCAATTCAGAGGAAATTACATTACAATAAGGCAGTTAATGGAAACGGAGAGGTATTTTCTTCAGAGGCTACGCCACTGGTAAGGAGGTGTCCACATTCCTGCAAATAACCCTAATTAAACTCATTGAGCCGGGCTGTGGTGGCGCACGCCTTTAATCCCAGCACTCGGGAGGCAGAGCCAGGCGGATCTCTGTGAGTTCGAGGCCAGCCTGGGCTACCAAGTGAGCTCCAGGAAAGGCGCAAAGCTACACAGAGAAACCCTGTCTCGAAAAACCAAAAAAATAAAAAATAAAATAAACTCATTGAGCCACCAGTAATAACAATTAATAATTATAGACATGGAAGTGGAAAGAAGATAAGTTGGGAAGAAGAGGAGAAGCCTGAGTGGAGGAGGAAGGGGAGGAGGCTGGGTGGAGGAGGAAGGGGAGGAGGCTGGGTGGAGGAGGAAGGGGAAGAGCCTGGGTGGAGGAGGAAGGGGAGGAGCCTGGGTGGAGGAGGAAGGGGAGGAGGCTGGGTGGAGGAGGAAGGGGAGGAGCCTGGGTGGAGGAGGAAGGGGAGGAGCCTGGGTGGAGGAGGAAGGGGAGGAGCCTGGGTGGAGGAGGAAGGGGAAGAGCCTGGGTGGAGGAGGAAGGGGAGGTGCCTGGGTAGAGGAGGAAGATGAGGAGCCTGGGTGGAGGAAGAAGGGGAGGAGCCTGGGTAGAGGAGGAAGATGAGGAGCCTGGGTGGAGGAAGAAGGGGAGGAGCCTGGGTGGAGGAGGAAGGGGAGGAGCCTGGGTGGAGGAGGAAGATGAGGAGCCTGTGTGGAGGAGGAAGGGGAAGAACCTGGGTGGAGGAGGAAGGGGAGGAACCTGGGTGGAGGAGGAAGGGGAGGAACCTGGGTGGAGGAGGAAGGGGAGGAGCCTGGGTGGAGGAGGAAGGGGAAGAGCCTGTGTGGAGGAGGAAGGGGAAGAACCTGGGTGGAGGAGGAAGGGGAGGAACCTGGGTGGAGGAGGAAGGGGAGGAGCCTGGTGTCCACACTGTGCTCTGGGGCATGGAGGCAGCTTACACAGACTCAGTAAAGGACAGGAGATGGAGAAGAGTCTCCAGAATCTTCCCTGCGGCAGATGAACTGACTTTTCCCCTGGGAGATTCAATCAAACACTTCTTCCCCTAAGGTGGGCACTCAGGACAGACCAAAGTCTACCTCTGTGAGACCAATGAGTGTTGAGGCAAAAACACAGCTCTCTCCCGAAAGGGGAGAAGAGACTGTTTATTCTGGAGCCAAATATGAGTGCCCATGGCCTGGAAGCAGACTCAGGCTTCCCCAAACTCCATGTTTCACCATGGTCCAAGTTTGATGAAGTTTTTGTGATAATAGAACAAAGAAAGCCATAAATTGGGGAATGGGTGGAGGGTCAGCTCAGTGGTTACAAGCAGTTGCTGGTCTTGTGCAGGACCCAGGCTCAGTTCCAACACCCCCACAGTAGCTCACAACCATCCATAGCTCCAGTTCCAGGGGATCCAATGCCCTGTTTTGAACTCTGTGGGCACCAGGCATGCACATGGTGCACACGCATGCATGCAGGCAAAACACTCATACACATAGAATAAATAAATAAATCTAAAAATATATAAAAAAAACAAAATCATAAATCAAAGCACTTTTAAAATACATGGATGGAGGCATCAGGTAGGTGGGCTAATGCAAGTGAGGAAATGTCCCCTGTGGGGCTCAGGCATCATCTGATGATACACTTAGCCTTTTTTTGGTTCATGGAAACTATGGTTTTAAGCTACCACATCCAAAAAGGTTTTACTTGTTAGTCACAAGGGTGTTAGGTCAGAGACGGGCAAGGAATGGTGACTATTATAGGGGCTAAAGACAGGCCAAGATAAGTTGTGATTAGACTCTGCACCTGAACCATTCCAACTCTCCACAGCTACTGAAATTCTAACCAGTGAAGCAGCCTCGCTGAAGGGTCAAGGCCAACTAGAATTCCTTCTAGGAACTTGCTGTACACCGGTTTACTAGGCTTACTCACAAAGCACAGTGGAGGGGTTACTTTCAAGGGCACAGGAACCCCAAAACAGCTGCACTATCATAGAGACTCACCTTACGAGGATTGAGACCTCATGGATGTACATGGAGTATGCTGCAAGCCGCAGGAAAACAATGGAAATCAGCTATTATCACAAAAGCTACTACTTGAAAAAGTCAAGGACTTCTCCAAAGGTCAAGCCAAGGCTTAAGAAGTCTTGGTGATATTTTAGCTTTTATATATAAGAAAATCATTTTAGGAACCTAATATGGTTTTCTTACATGGTTCCTAAAATGATTTTCTTACGTGCTTCCAAGAACTCCTAACAGTGTATTTATCTAAAATGCCTATCAGACATCCAAGGCTGAATGAAACTACACTTGTCTCCTAGGTCAGGCAGATAGCTTTATTTCTTATACAATTTAGGGTGAGACCCTCCTTTCTTATACAACCTTACTAACAGACCCCTAACTTCTTACCTAACCACTTTTAGGAATGTAGACTGAGCACATAGACCTCCTTTTTGATATACTAACTGGTGATTAGCACTCAGCTGACCTCCTCTTTTACCACTCCCATTTTGGATTGTAAAAGAAAGCCTGGCGGTCATTGCCTGAGGAAAATTCTTACCTGCCTTTATGACTCTGTCGAATTCAAGCCTGGTGACCTTGCTCGACCAGGAAATTGCTATTGTTTGGGGTTATGACTGGATGCCTGGGAGACTTAGGAGGAACATGGAGAACTTAGAGATGGAGAACAGAGAGGGATAAGGAGGATTTGGACCAGAGAGAACATGTGGATGAGATGGAAGATGAGGAAGAGTCAGATGGGAAGTACTAGCTGGGTAAGAAAAAGATGAAAAGGACCTAGATGAGGCAGAATCAAGACGAGAGAATTAAGATAGAACTTAGAGGGAGCAGTAGATAAATATAGAGAAATCAGGCAAGAAAGGAGCTAGGCAGAGAACAGAACTGAAACTGTGTAAATAGGATGTTATGCCAGAGGAATTAAAGCAAGTGGACTAAGAGCTCGGTGTGCTGAGATTCTATTTCCTGAAAATAGTCCTCGCCGTTAGTAGTTCTCTCTCCTGAGTCCCTGGGATGTATAATATTAAGGCTGGTCCCTCTAATATTAATTATACAAGAGGAGTCCCACTTTCTAGATCACTTGTGGCAGGTGGTAGGGGAGAGACATAGTTGGAGTTGAAGGTGGTCTGTTCTTATCACCATAGACCTGGGTACCACTGTATTGTTCTGCTCTAGTTGCCATGGCTACTGGGCAAAGTCCAAGATGGCATCAAGAGTAAACAAGCGCTTTTAGCTTCTCCATCCCCATGGGCAGCAGCTCCTGGCTACTGAGATGCTTCTCGGGGTTCATGGATGTTAAAGTATCACTTCCTCTGTGCCTACACCCTTCAGGAAGCCTAGTGAGTACATTGCTGCCATCTTGGAACTTAGTTCTTTGGTGGCCAGAAGGCACCAGAAGCTGCATCTGCATGTGGGCCTGTTCTATCACCTCACCCGGGACGGGATGCGCTTCCAGAAGGCCTGCCGCCTAGTGCATGACTTCACTGATGCCATCATCCAGGAGCGGCGCAGCACCCTCCCTGATCAGGTTGATGATGATGTCTTCAAGGCCAAGGCCAAGGCCAAGACTTTGGACTTCATTGATGTGCTGCTGCTGAGCAAGGTGTGTTCCTTAAGGGGAGCGGAGGGGCCGGGCCTAGGATGACAAAGTGACGTCACAGAGCTGAGAATGCTCTGCCCTTACTGTGTCCTGGACGCCATGCAGGCTCCACTCATCACTGGAACCTGGCCATGAGCCCTTCACCACCAGGCCAACTAAGGTGTCTAGGACCCTGCATGGGTATCTACATCCTTTGAGTCAACTCAGACCAGGGAGGGCTCTGATCACAGAGAGGCTGCTCTTGACTTTCCAACTATGGGTCTAAATCTTTGCACATAACCTGTACAGAGGGTGGGAAGGAGACCCTGGATATGAGTCACACCAACTCTCCCCACCCCCATTTGTCAGGCCCAGATCCTTCTCACCACCCCAGGCCCCTGGACTTACACGGGCCTGGCTGGGGACCTTTGAGCAGCAGGTACATCTTCCTATGGCTATGCTCAGCAGCCTGATGCCCAGGAGCAGATCAGCCCATTCCACAATAAAGCAGCTAGGACGATGGCAAAGCTCCCAACTCCCAGGTCCCCTTAGTGGCCAATGCAATACGTTACCTGTATATGAAGCATTAAAAAAACAAAACAAACAAACAAACAAGCACTTGTGTTCCCTTGTGGTGTAGGAGGGCCTGTGCTCATGTGTGCATGCTCATGCAGAGGACAGAACTTGGCACTGAGTGTCTTCCTTAGTCACTCTCCATCTTGCTTCATTTAAAAAATGGTTTTAGGTTTATTTATATTTTATGTGTATGAATGTGTTGTCTGCATATATGTATGTGCACTCCATATGTGCCTGGTGCCCAAGGAAGTGAGAAGATGGCTTTAGATCTCCTGGAACTGGAGTTACAGTTGCTTGACACTATGTGGGTGCTGGGAATTGAGCCATTTTCCCAGTGCTGAATCACAGCTCTTATTTTCAAGCAGTAAGGTTTGAATGCTATAAGGCTTGAGGCTTATGTAGGACAGCTAGGGCTGTCACATTGTATCTTCTTCCCTGCAAAGAGGGAGTGAGAAGAGATGAGAGATGGGAGTGAGAAGGAAGGGAGAAAGGAAAGTGTAAACTAGGTCTCTTTAGTGACATCTACAGGCAGGCCAGCCAAACAGCTCCCGGGAGATAAGATTCTTGGGTGTCTCTTTTAATGCATTTTAAAATCACATTGCTTGTTTATTGTGTGTGTCCGTGTGCATGGGTACCTGTGCCACAGTACACTGTGCCAGAGGACAACTCCTTCTGTATAGATCCTGGGATTAAACTCAAGTCATCATCAGGCTGTGGCAAGGGCCTTTATCCATAGAGCCCTCTCACTGGCCTGTTCCTAGATACACACAGAAGCACACTCTTTGGAATAAAGTTCTGCTTCTGACTTCAAAGGCAATCTACATTCAACTCCTATATTCTAGGTTGCCACTCACTTCTCCAGATACTTGTAGTACAGGGATAAAGAACATTGATGGGTTGCTGGTTCCTCCAGGGTTAAGACAGAGGCCAGCCGCCAGGAATGACATAACTGGTGTGGGGACTCTGAGAATGGTGATTAACACAGGTGCAGGGGTGTGGTTGGGTGGGTGTCCACATGGACCAGGGGTCTTCAGAGACTGTCTCAGGTTAGACACAGGAATACTAAGAACTGGTGCCATTTGATGTCTTGCCTTGTCTTCAGGACGAACATGGAAAGGCACTGTCTGATGAGGACATCAGAGCTGAGGCTGACACCTTCATGTTTGGAGGTGAGTGTTCCGTGAACTGCTACAGAGAGGGGAGGTGTCTGTCTAAGCATCCTGGTGACCTGGTAGGTGGAGCCCGGATCCCTCTATCCCTTCCCCTTCCCTGTCCTTCTTGGCAATTACACTTCCTGGGGACTGAGCCACCTGCATGGTGTCCACTTGGTGATGCTAAAGCAGCCAAGAGACCCAGGCTGCCTGTCTGCCCCTCAGGCCATGACACCACGGCCAGTGGGCTCTCCTGGATCCTGTACAACCTGGCAAGACACCCGGAATACCAGGATCGCTGCCGGCAGGAGGTGCAGGATCTCCTGAGGGACCGTGAGCCTGAGGAGATTGAATGGTGAGCGCAGGTGCTGGTGTGCTTCTGAGCCCCTCTCCTTGGCTCTTCTCATGAGAAAACAAAAGATGGGAGAGGAAAGGAGGGAAGAGGAGGTCTGCATTTAGATTGGGGAGAGAGGCTTTGAAAGATGGAGGTGAAGGGGGAGGAAAGGAAATGAGAAAGTGGGACAGGAAGAAGGTGTGTGTGTGTGTGTGTGTGTGTGTGTGTGTGTGTGTGTGTGTGTGTGTGTGTGTGTTGGGGCTAAGATGAACCAAGATGGCAGCAACTGAGGCCACCAGCATAGACTGGGCAGGCAATGTTAGTGACTTTGATTTTAACCCAAGGCCATTTATGGGGCCAGGAGAGGGTTTGAGCAGAAGATAGGCACATCAGCTCTGTATTGCAAAGGTCCTTGTAGGTATCTTCCAAGATCCTTCCCTGTCAGATTGACCTAACCATACAATCCTTTAGTCATCCAGAAAAACTTTAGCTTAGTTATTGAAGTTCCTGTGAAACATCAGGTGCGCTGGGTGTCAGGGGCACATGTTTAGTCCCACCTACTTGGGAAGCTGAGGCAAGAGGATCCCTTGAGTCAGGAGTTGGAGATAAGTTTGGGCAGCATAACAAGACCTTGTCTACCTCAAAACACAAAACAGGGCTGGAGAAATGCAGAGGACCCCAGTTCCATTCCCAGGACCCATGCCGGACTGCTCACAATTGCAGTCTGTAACAATTGTAACAATTGTAACCCTAGCTCCAGAGGATCCAATGCTGCCAGACTCCTTGGGCACCTGTAATACAAATGTGTACACACACACACACACACACACACACACACACACACACACACACTTTAAAACCCTTAAAAATATAAAACAAACAAACAAAAAGGCATCCTTGGAGGGATACATAAACAAACAAGCAAACAAAAAGCTAGCAACCAGGCAGCCTGCAGGAAGAGAATATGTATGGCTCTGGGCCGGGGGGCTGAGTGATGTGCCACAGAGTTCAGATTTTGAGCAGTTAGCTGCTCACACCAAAAGAACACAGATCAAAGGTTTCAGCCACATTGTTGGCTCCGCACAAGTTGTTCAAGTTTTCCAGTGACTTCTGCTGTGTTTTCTAAGCATAAAATCACCGTCTGGGGCTGTGGAAGGGGCTTAGTGGGAGAACACTTGTCTAGCATATGCTAACACTTGCCTAGCACATGGGATGGATCCTAAGTCCCACAAAACCAAAACTAAACTCAAAACAAACCAAAACCCAAACAACCCTCCCCAGCACCTCTCTCTGCTAAAATGACACATTTACCCTTCTACAGCAAGTTACATTCTTTTCTTCCTTTTTTTCTTAGTTAATTACATTTGCTAGTATCTCTAGTACAGTGATGAAGAAAAGCAAAAGCATTTTAGACATATTTATTTTACTTTTTACTGTTTTGTACTTTGGTTTTCCTCTTTTTTCCAGAGACAATAATTTTTATTCAAACTTGTTAATTTAAAAATTATTTTTATTTTTAAGATTATATGGTATGTGTGGTGTGTGTGTGTGTGTGTGTGTGTGTGTGTGTGTGTGTGTGTGTGTAGGTGGGAAGGTGTATGTGAATACAGAGCCTGCAGAGGTAGGAAGAGTGTGTCAAGTCTCTGGAGTTGGAGTTATGGGGCAGTTGTGAGCTGCCTGATGTAGGTGCTGAAAAATGAACTCAGGTCCTGGTAACCACTGAGCCATCTCTCAGCCCATTTGTTGACTTTTTATACCATTGGCCTTTAGACATTTTCTCTCAGAAAGAGATTCTAAAGCTACCTGGCTAAACTTTCTTTGGTACTTTCCTAATTCTCTGATTTAAAAACCTTTTGAATAATCAAAAGTTAATTGCTAATAAACACACAATTAAGCTAACTAATCAGTAAGCTAGCCAACTGTTAGTTGATAAAGTATTTTGAGACAGAGTGTCACTGTGCACCATAGGCTGGCCTGGAACTCATAATCCTCCTGTCTCAGCCTTTCCACTGTTGAAATTTTGTTTTTGTTTTCATTTTTAAAAATTACATTAGCTAATTAATGTCGCTCTTGGGGATTGAACTCAAGACTTCAGACTTGTCGGCAAGTGCTTTTCCACACTGAGCCTTCTAGTCAGCCTGTGCTTTTACAGCGCTCAAGCACTTCATCCATCTCAAGATTATTTTACCAGAGGGAGAAAGGTTCCGCTGGGCCACAGAGGCGCTGCGGTGCTCTCATTTTTGACCTGGTTAACTGTTGGTTGGGATTTTCCCAGGGACGACCTGGCGCAGCTGCCCTTCCTCACCATGTGCATCAAGGAGAGTCTGCGGCTGCATCCCCCTGTCATGGCTATCTCCCGTTGCTGCGCTCAGGACATTGTGCTCCCAGACGGCCGGGTCATCCCCAAAGGTGCCCACAGGGAGGAGAAGGAGGGTCCTGGGCAGACAGTGGGTCCAGCGTGCAACAGTTTGTCTCGACCGCTTCACTTCCCCCACAGGTGTCATCTGCAGAATAAGTATTTTCGGGACACATCACAATCCCGCTGTGTGGCCTGACCCGGAGGTGCTGTCCCTTAATTCTCCTATGTTATGCGCTGGGGTTCTAGAGGTGAAGGCACGTGTGTGTGTGTGTGTGTGTGTGTGTGTGTGTGTGTGTGTGTGTGTGTGCAGCTCAATCTGGCCTTGACCTCACGCTGTAGCCAAGCATAACTGTAAACTTATGATCCACCTGCTTCCACCTCCTGAGTGTTGGGATGACAGGTGGGCAGCACCATGCCTGGCTTATGTGGTGCTGGGGATGGGATCCAGGGATGTGCCTGGTAGGGCAAGTGCCGCACCAACTCAGCTACCTCCCCAACCCCAATCATAGGTTTTATAAAGCGGGGTCTCAGGTATCCCAGGCTAGCCTGGAAATCCCTATACAGCCAAAATTGACCCTGAACCATTGATCCTCCACCTCCACCTCTGGGGTGCTGAGATGACAGGTTTGCACCCATTCGGTTTTATGCTTGTGCTGAGAATGGAATCCAGGGCTTCCAAGTGCTCCTGGCCGCACCCCTAACTCTAGGCGAGCAGTCTACCAGCCCAGGAGCCAGAGAAATCAATTCTTACCTTCCACCGCACATGGAGGACTCTCTGTTCCTGGCTGTGCTGGCAGATGGTAATCACCCACCGTGGCTCTATGTTCCTGCAGGTCTATAACCCGTTCCGATTTGACGCAGACAACGCCAAGGGCAGGCCATCCCTGGCTTTTATTCCCTTCTCGGCAGGGCCCAGGTGAGGTCGGGAGTGAGGGGTCGGGGTCTGGGGCTGGCAGTGAGGGCAGGGGGAGTTGGGTGGGGGAGGCGTTACCATCTCCCTCCTGCCTCTCTGCACAGGAATTGAGCAAAGGTTTGGGGGAAGCAGGGAAGGGAAGGTGAAGAGCCCCGCTCTGTGCTCAGAGTCCCTCCCTGGTGTTTGGGTGCTGGTCTGGACCAGGCTCCGAGGATACTGACGCCCAGGCGTGGTCCCAGATGTCGTAGCCCGGGGCCAGGTTCTAGTGCTGTGTCTGTCACAGGTGGGGTCTAGGACACAGTCAGAGTCCCCACCCCGCCCTCCCGCAGGAACTGCATCGGGCAAACTTTCGCCATGAGCGAGATGAAGGTGGCGCTGGCGCTGACGCTGCTGCGCTTCCGCCTCCTGCCGGACAGCGAGGAGCCGCGCAGGCAGCCGGAGCTGATCCTGAGAGCAGAGGGCGGGCTGTGGCTGCGGGTGGAGCCGCTGAGCACGCAGTGACCCCACACCTGGCCTGGGACCCCACCCCCCACGCCCCTGCACATTCCCAACAATAAAAATCTTGGTCACTCGTGTCTGAGCCTCACCAAACATCAGCAGGGAGGTTCTGGAATCCAGGTGGCGCGCCTCCTGTGAGCCACAGGCAGCCTCGGAAGGTGTTTGAGAAGTAGAGGGACAGTTCGGATTTAAGGGACAGGAAGATTAATATCGATTGTTACGCAGGAGGCAAGGCTCTGGGCACACCTGTGAGGGATTCCCTGGATTCAGTCAACTGAAGTGGAACGATCCGTTGTAACTGTAGGTGGCGCTATTACCGAGTTTGGGTTCTGGGTTGAATAAAAAGGAAAAAGCGAGACTGATAGGTTAAGGTCAAGGACTCGGGTTTGGCTCCCAGCATCCACATGGAGGCTCACAACCGTCTGCAACTGCAGTTCCAGGGGGTCCCACGTCCTCTGCTGGCCTCCACAGGCACCAAGCAAGCATGCAGCGTAGGCAAAACACCCACACACTTTAAATAAAATAATGGTTTTTGTTTTGTTTTTTGATTTTCTGAGACAGGGTTTCTCTGTGTGGCTTTGGAGCCTGTCCTGGAACTCACTCTGTAGACCAGGCTGGCCTCGAACTCACAGAGGTCCGCCTGCCTCTGCTGGGATTAAAGACATGAGCCACCACCGCCCGGCAAATAAAATATCTTGAACACACAAAAAGGGAAAAAGTGAGCTGAGCACCACGTGACCAGCCACCTCATGCCAATGCGATCTTACCATTTCCACCACGTTGTGACCTTGAAGTGAGAACCAGAGTTAACCTTTTCTATCTTTGTTACTTTTCTATTGCTGTGAGGAGACCCAATGAGAAGGAATTGTATAGATTTTATACATTCTATACTGTACTACAGAAGAAAGAGTTTACTGAGTGCTTACGGTTCCAGAGGGTAAATCCATGACTCTCATGGAGGGGAGCATGGCGGCAGCAGGCAGGCATGGTGCTGGAGAGCTTATATCTCATCCACAAGCATGAGGTGGAGAGAGCGAACCTCAAAGTGTCCTCCCTCCCCCCCCACCCCACTCAGTGACACACTTCCTCCAACAAGGCCACTGAATTAGTCAGGATTCTTCAGAGAAACATAACTTACAGACCGAATACATATAAATGGGATTTATCAGAGTGGCTCACAGGCTGTGGCCTGACTGTTCCAACAATGACTGTCTGCCAATGGGAAGTCCAGGGATCCAATAGTTGTTTGGTTTATGAGGTGGGATGTCTCAGTTGGTTTTTAGTATATGCTGGAATCCTGAAGAAGTAGGCTCTAACACAGCAGTTCTCAACCTATGGGTCGTGATCCCTCTGGGGGGGTCAAACGATCCTTTCACGGGGGTCACCTAAGACCATGGGATAACATGGATATTTACATTATGATTCATAGATTCATAACAGCAGCAAAATTATAGCTACAAAGTAGCAATGAAAGTAATTTTAGGGCTGGTGGTCACCACATCGTGAGGAACTGTAATGAAGGGCTGCAGCATTAGGAAGGTTGAGAACCACTGGTGTAATGCCAGTGAAGGAATGAATTTACCAGCAAGAGTGAGAGCAAGCAGGTGACGAGCAAGAGCTTCCTTCCTCCATGTCCTTTATATGGGCTGCCACCAGAAGGTGCCGCCCAGATTAAAGGATGGCTCTTCCCACCTCGAGTGATCCAATCAAGTAAAATCCCTTAGCTGTGTACCAAACAGCTTGGGTTTAGTCAGTTCCAGATGCAGTCAAGTTGAAAACCCCAAATAGCCATCACAACCACACTAACCCTTCCCAAACGTGTCCACCAACAAGAGACTAAGCACATGAGCCTAGGGGGCCATTCTCATCCAAAGCGCCCTACTCCCTTACCTTTTGAGGGTGGTTCATTATAGCAACTGGATGTGTAACCAAGGAAAGGGCATGCCCAAGCCTCTTCGTTAGAGAGGAAAGTTCACAAGGGGCTGGTCCAGAGTGCAGAGGAGAGCCGGCAGCCGGGCAGGACTCTTGGCTCCCTTCCAGCTCCTGCTATTCCTTCTGCCTTCAGAGACCTCCCTGTTTCATCCATGGGTCCCCTAATGCTATGTGCTGGCCAAGAGAGACAGGCTTAGCCTTCACTGTGTGCCCAGGACTGTCACAAATGTCAGGAGGTGTGCCCTCTCCTCCCCCTCTTAGCTCCAGAATTCTGTCTTCAGAACACCTGGGAGCATCTTGGGGTAGAATGGAGGGGGTCAGGGCCATTCCGTTTGACTGCTGAAATTTAAAACTAGACCACTGGAAAGAAAAAATCACCTCTGAAGAGCCAGTGACCCAGAGGATGCTGGGTGCCGGAGTAAGCTCAGTTGTGTGACAGGGGCAGGTTAGCCACCCTCTCTGTTCTTCAAGCAACAGGGAGTGATACAACACCACCGGAGGTGTGAGCACAAGGGACTTGGAGTTGTGCCTGGTACATAACAAGTGCTCAACAAACAGGGCTGCTGTTATCTCCTCTCTTGGGAAGCCTCAGTGGGGCATCAGAAGCCTGTCTCTCCGCACCTGTATTTCATTGCTTTAAACTCAAAAGCAGGTGATCTAGTATTTGTGTTTGCTGAATCAGCTCTCCCTACCTTGGTGGCTCTGCACAAAGGACACAAGTTGTAAATCAATTTATTGCTATTATTATTTTTTTCATATGCTTATTATTCATTTTATTTCATTTTGGGGATGGCCATTCAATTGTTTGGTGTTTTGTAATATAATTTTCACACTGCTCAGGATAATTTTGAGATGGCTAACTGAGATGATCCAGCCTCACAGACTACTCGAGCAAGGACTTGAGATAAGCCCTGTACTTTTGCATTATGTAGAGACTGGACAACAAATGATACAGCTACCTCTCCCAGGACTTGACAATTAACCCAAAAAATTTTTGTTTTCAGGATCCCCTAAACATGCTTTTGCCCCCAGACAGCAGGAAGTAATTTTAAGAACATGACACCCACATTCCCAAGAGGTAGGGTGGGTGGGTTTTGGTCTTTCAATGGGTTTTGTATAGTAGTCATTGTTTAGGATGGTTGGTTACAAGTTGTTAATTATTAATGGTCAGGAAAAATATTAAACAAAGGAAATTATATTCAGGGTTCTTGTTTGAAAAAAAGAGGATATAGATAAGAGATAGATTATTGAATCTTACTCTGAAAAAAGATATAGAAATGATAAAAAAGGGTAGATTATTAAATCTAATCTGAAAAGAAAAAAGAGAGAATGTGGATATGAAAAGATAAAATGGTAGATTATTGAATTTACTTTTAAAAGGCAACTACTAGTTTTAAATATTTTACATTGGATTGGGTTTTTGTATATTGTATACAAATTTTGTATGTTGATACAAATTTGAGATTGTCTTTATTACAAAATACTGTACATGTATTTCTAATCTTGTTCAAGGTATTGTACCTATACAGTTCATTTAACAATATAGTGCAATTTGCTAGTCCTTGAAAGTTATTATTACCAACTAATTAGGATCTAAAGAAATGTAAGTTAGTAATTAGTCCTTATAATTAAACTTGTAGTCATATTAGGTATGTTTCCAAGATCAAGCAGAGATATATTTTATATAGACAGGTCATCTTCAAACACTTCAGAGATCTGCAGACTATGGCATTTAAGATGTTTTAATAACATAGATTCTTTTTTTTTATGACTATGAGACATGTCCGCTCCTGGCAGCACCAATTTACTTCAGAGAAGATGATGGGCATTGAAGAAACTCCATATGTTTACTTTCATTGTGGCAAAAGTTAGCCACTGGGCAAGAAAGTGCCCTCAAATTGACTGCTGACAGTATGCTGTCCAAAATGGACAAGGAGGACATAAAAGAAAGGACTGCAAACCTTGCTAAGACAAGGTTGGAAGGCTCTTTAGAAAATCCTGCTTCACAGATGAGTGTGTCAGATATGCTAAGCCTGTAGGTTGAAGAATGGATGCCCCAACGTTGCAGAGAAACCTCGAGTGACTGTCCAGGCAGCTTGCTGTTTCTGTCATAACTCACAAATTTTTGGGAAGTTGCTTGTTTACACTTCCTGTTTTACTAGGTAATATTATTTCCTTCTTGGTTCTCTGAGGGAGTTGAAGATTAGTTATCGTTTTCCTTGGTAACAATTTCAGAAAAGAAGCTCACTAAAGAGGTGTAAAGTGTATAAGTTTGAAAGACATCAAAAGATAGTTTTTGGTTGGTAATAAAAGTTAGGATAGAAAGTGAATTAAGTACATTTCGGACTCACCAAAATAGGATAGATGATGGAATATTTTTGCTGAATTTGTCAAATGCAAATGGACTAGACATTGTTGATGTATTTATTGCCTGTATATACTGTATATAGTTATTGTACTTATTGTATATAGTTTTTCTGATATTAGTTATAACTTATTTATTTTAGGCAAAAAAGGGGAAATGTGGTGATATTTTATTTGTGCACGCCAATAAAACTTATCTGAAGATCAGAGGGAAAAGCCAGCCACTATAGTAAACACAAAGGTCATGCAATGGTAGCATATACCTTTAATCCTAGCATTTGGGAGGCAGATATCTATCCAGATCTCTGTGAGTTCAAGGCCACACTGGGAACAGAGCCAGGTATGGTGGCACATGCCTTTAATCCCAGTACTAACCATGGAGGTCTGGAGGTCTGTACAGACAGACAGGAAATGATGTAACTGGGTGGAGAGAGGAAGTAAGAGGGCAGGGAAAGAAAGGCATATAGCCATGAGTACAGGAAATAGGTCTCTCTCTTTTTGGCTGAGGATTTCTAGTGGTAAGAACATGGCTGGCTTCTTTCTGCTTCCCTGATCTCTCAGTTTTTACCCCAATATCTGGCTCCAGGGTTTTTATTAATAAGACTGTTCAGCAATTCATCTTACAGGCAATAGGCTAGGCTGCAGCACACTTTATGTGAATGAATATTGCAACTACCATGTGAAAAAGCAAGCAGCTAGACATACAGACTAACCTGATTGTGTCATCCTTTTTAGTTTTATCTAGTTAATGTCTCATTGGACCTCCTGTGTTAATCTTCTACTCTGAGACCTTCAGTGAGCTTGGCTTTGTGCCCTTTGCTCTCAGGCTTGACTTACCATAGTGAAAGAAGATAGACGTCTATAGATTTAAAAAAAAAGACTGTTCTAGGTGACATTCTGTGTGAGGGAGGCTCCCATGAGTCGTCCCCACCCTAGGGGCCTATGAATTCACTTAGGATAAATTATTTCCAGTGGGAACTCAGATATCAGGAGTTAGCTCAGTGGTCTACTCTGCTGACTGACTGGTGATGGATTTCTAAGAGGCAATTTTGAAAGCTTTTGGTCTAGAGGATAAAACCCAATTTGAGATCAAACTACATTCAAGTTTTCTGCAGGCTGTAGTGGATGCTATCTGGATGGGTGATGTGAAGTGTTACAACGCTAGAAGCATTTTGTTTCTTTTGGGGATGAAATGGATTAATGTGAGCAGCTTAAACAAATCATAGACTGAAATAAAACTTTAATGCTCTTTAATATGTAAAAAATGTAAATCTACACAGAATTCTAAAATATTTAATTTCAAACACCAGACAAAGAAGAGCCAGGGGATCCTGTTATCCAGTGATGTAGGGCTTTCCAGTAGAACCACATGCTGTTTTATAGTGACATGATTCTTTCCTTTGAATCATGGGAACCTCTGTCCTTTTGGTTTACTACAGTTAGGCACATGTCTAATATTGCATTTCTAGTTAATTATGTTTTGATTTATAATATACTCATTTGCATATCAAACATGTTAGTTCCTTTCATCTCAACTGTAACTACTCTAGAAGTCTTTTATCATCACCCCCATTATTATTATTATTATTATTGTTTATTTTATAAGAATTCTCATTTGTATAAAAGCTTGTTAATGTCTGTTGTTGTAGTCACGGTCTAATTTGTTTTCACTTAAACCTTTGAAGATCAGGTAGAAGGATGCATCTGGGGCCGAGGGTGTGAAGGAGTTGGGGGACCTGTACAAAGCTGGGGTTCTGCTCTCTGGACTGCAGCACTGTGGACTTGGGCTTGCAGATGCATCTTTGCCCTCACATGAAATATACTGCTTTTCAAATTAGAATTACCTTTAATCTTGTTTTCCCCATAGAGACACGAGGTAGTCCTTCTTTCTCGGGGCAAACATTTTTGTATTTTCCAAGCACATCACAAATTTTCACCTTTAAATCTTTTTTAATGAGTTCCTTAAGATGCACGTGCTGCAATTCACTGTGCTCATGCTCCATTTCCTTCACTCTCTTGGTAGCAGGCTGCTCTGAATATAAGAACTCACTGTCATATTTCTTCCTTAGCTCTTGTCCTGTAGATATTTTCTGAAGATGAGAAGGTAGAATGTTTTCAAAATGACTCTGTCCTTATATATTACAGTGTATGGACAAAGAAAAAGGAGCAACTAATTAATATTTATTAGTTAAATATCTTCATAAATGCTCTTCTATTTACACCATCACTTGCTATTGATAAGAAGTGAAACCAATTTATTCTCATCTAGAGTAGGAGAAAAACATGACCCAACATACTTAACTTAGTATTGATTGCAGTGTTGATTACAATAACCACACTTTACTTGTTAAATCTTCTAACAAATGATTACATGACTTTTAAGAGCACAACGGATGACTTTCGTAAGAGATATTATCGTACACTACCTAGAAAGGTTAAGCCCCAACAGTACATTTGAGGCCTTTTTCTGTTTTTCAGTAAATAGCTTGTTGGCAAGCCTAAGTTACCAAGAACCAAAATCACTGAACACCATCAAAAAGAAAAACAAACTGCTAAATTTTACTTTACATTATATACTGTGCAGTTTATAGTTATATGGTATAAAGTATATTGTATATTAACATATCATAAACAAATCATAGGGAAGATAAACAAATACAGCCATCTTGCTGAAGGTACATCAGCTGGCAGGTACAACAAAGTTTAAATTGTACTTCAGATTATACCCTGTGAGAGTACCCTGCATACATGCAGACTATCTGCACTGACTCACGTTTTAACATAGTTCATATGAGATAATGAACAAGATGTTCAATGATCTTTACCTATTTTTCCTCAGTATATTAAAATAAATAAAATGCTATTACATGAATCCTAACATCATTAAATGAAGCTGTTCTCTGCAGAAAGAGACACATGTGAAAGACAGAGCTTGGTGACTGGTTGGGACTTTGAAGGAGGGCTGGAGTCCAGGTCTCCTCTACTTCAGTATTTCAATAGGATTCACCAGCTGCTATTTACTAGAATGGAGACAACAGCAGAAAGAGCAATGGTCAGCCAAGACCCAGGGAATGGAGAAGGATATTTTCAGTTTGTAATATGAAATTTAGGCACACGGAGGCCTTGGGAGACAGAACTGCATGGACAGCCAAGGAGGATGTGGCCTGTGAAAAAGCTTATGGATTCAAGAAGATAAACATCCATAAATATAATTTAGACTTAAAAATGTTAGCTTATACAGAATTCTGAAATACTTAAGTAAGAGTATCAAAGGCAGAAAAGCCAGGGGATCCAGTTGTCCAGTGATATAGGGCTTTCCATTAGATTCACATGCTGTTTTTAAGTCCCATGATTCCTATCTTTGAATTATTGAGACCATGGCCCTTTGATGTACTAGACTTAGGCACATGTCTAAGATTGAATTTCCAGGTCATTACATTTGGCTTATGATGTTATTTGCAGAGAAAGCATATTAGTTCTTTTCATTCAACTGAAAACCCCATGAGGTCTTTATCATTTTTCTATATTATTATTATATAAGAAGTCTCATCATTTATTTTAAAGTCATATTTGTTGTAATCTAAATTTTTCACAGAAGCTCAAGGTGGGTGGGAAGTGTCCTGGGAATGGAGAAGTGTAGGGCATGTGCAAGGCTGAAGTCCTGTTGTCGAGATGCTCTCTACAGCCCAGAGACAAGGGCGCACAGATGCCTCTACCCCCCCCCCCCACTACGTACATTGCTTTTAAAATTAGAAGGAATTACCCGTAGTTGTTTTCTTCCATGAAGGATATGAGGTAGTTCTTTCTTCATACATGTATCACATTTATATTTTTCAAGTATTTCACAAAGTGCTTCTTTTAAATCGTGTTTAATGAGTTCCTTTAGAGGCATACAGCGGGAATCACTCTGCCCATCAATGACTTCTTCTTCAGTTTGCACTGAGGGCTTTTCTGAATGTGAAGGGGCACTGTCATGGTCACCTCCATGTTTTTTCTTTTTTCTTTGTTCCAGAGATGTTCTCTGCAGGAGGAGAGATAGAAGGTTCATTTGCTTGGTTTCCTAGAAGAAGTTTTTTTAATTTTTTTATTTTTAGGTGCTTGTTTTCAAAATTACTTTATCTTCACAAGTCATAAGTTATAGACCATGAGAAAGTAAAAAAAAATGCTTAATACTTAACAGTTAAACTTCTTCATATATGTTTAGTCTGTCTCAAATCACTAGGCTCTCATTAAGAACTGAAAACAAATTACGTTTTTCTAGAATTAACTAAAAGTCATGAACCCGTGATTTTTGTGTCAATGTTGTTTGGAATAAACTAATGGTGTGTCACATATTCAAAACCATAAATTACATGAGATTTTTTGAATTTTTTTATTTAGATGAGATTTAACATGTAAAAACAATTCTCACACCTAAAGATTTGAACTCACCTACGTGTTTCCTCAGAGAACTTGTACTATTGCTCCCTGGGAGTGTTTATTAAACAATGATTCTCTTCCTCAAATTAATGATTATTATATCTCAAACTGATGACTATCTTAACTACACATATAAATGGAAGAAAATGATTTTTAAAGTGTCATGTAGGATTTTTACTTATTTAAATAACTAGCTTAAATATTTTTAAAATTTTAGCATGTTTACAGGATTCTCTCTCTCTCTCTCTCTCTCTCTCTCTCTCTCTCTCTCTCTCTCTCTCTCTCTCTCTCTCCAGACAGGGTTTCTCTGTGTAGCTTTGGAGCCTTTCCTGGAATTCACTCTGTAGCCCAGGCTGGCCTTGAACTCACAGAGACCCACCTGACTCTGCCTCCCGAGTGCTGGGATTAAAGGCATGTACCACCACTTCCCGGCTAAGGATTTTTTCTCATAAATAACCTCTCAAGGGGGAAGATCATACATGAAAAATCATGTATGTATTATATTGATTTGAGATCACAGACAGTAAGAGAAGAGCTATTTAGGGTGTCAAATAGCTAGAGACACATGATTATATGGATTTGGCTGCTTCTAAGAAAGAGGAGAAGCAGTTGATAATAAAGCTTTGGGGACAATTAATTAATAAAGCCATATACACCTGTTACACAGGGAGACATAACTAAATTAACTAACAATAGAAATAGAAACTGTAAGAAAGATCAAATGTGTTTTGCAAAAATAGTTCAGTATTGGTACAAAGCATTTTTAAAAGGCCAGGGAGGAGAGACAAACAAGTAGAACTCTCTGTCCAGAGGGCAGCAAGCAGCAGGCACAGCCAACAGGATTCATTTCAAACTACACGCTGTGAACATGCCGTGCATGTACACGGACTATCCATGCTACGTCTAGTTGTAAAGTAGCCTACTGTCCTCTTGTTACAGTGAAATAAGTACTAGAGTGAAATTCTAACTTCAAAGGTTCCATTCTGGAAGGTGAGGTTCTCTTTCTAAGCATTGGGGTTGATTCAGGAACCTGTTCTGTCTGTCAGCAGAGAAAGGTTAAAATCACAGACCTTAGTTACCAGTTGGTAGTTTGAGGGATGACTGGAGCCCAGAACTTCCCAACTTCAGTGTTTCTGTGCTATTGACTGGATTGAAGAAAACAAGAAAGGACAGAGCAGAATGACAGCAGGAAAGTTTCAGAGAATGGTAAGAAGTGATGTTGCCTGAAATTAGGCCACCCAAGGGTTAATGCACAGCGCTCTATCAATTCATTAGAAGAGGAGGCAGCCTAACTTGGGAAAAGCAAATTATTTAAGAAGATAAACTTTCCAGGTGGTGGTGGCACACACCTTTAATCCCAGCACTCGGGAAGCAGAGGCAGGTGGATCTCTGTGAGTTCAAGGCCATCATGGTCTACAGAGTGAGATCCAGGACAGGTTCCAGAACTAAACAGAGAAACACTGTCTGGAAAAACCAAATTTTTTAAAAAAAGATAAACACTTGTAAAGTATAATAAACCTATAATTATATATGCAAATATACACAGAAGTCTGAAACAAGAGAGAAAAATAGCTTAGAATTCTCTAATGCAGCTCTATAGTCTATCTATACCTGTTAACATACAGTGTGGTTTTATTAGTCATGTGATTATTTCTTTGAAATATTTAAACCAGTGTCCTTTCTTGACTTCAGTATGCATTTACTATATAATTTCTAATTCTGCTTTTGTTTATACACTTACCACATGCATATCTGTTCTTTTCCTGTCAACCATAACTACTCTCTGGCTTGTTATTATTCTCTGTTTTCTGTACTATTACGAGACTTGTGCCCATTTGTGTTAACAGCACGTTCACTTCCTGATCTATTGTTTTCATAGTTGAGTCACATGAACATCAGAAGATTACCAGCCACTGGATTCTTGGGACCAAGAACATGAGGGGCCAGGATATGATCAAGGTTGGGCATCTGACAGGAACTATCTGCAGGACTGCCGACTCAGGCAAACAGATGCATCTTTCAAAGCCTGTCAATCAAACACAGTCCTTTCCAGTGAGAGAGACCTACCTGGTAGTCTGCAGTTCCTTTAGAGGCACCAGGTAGTGGCTCTTCTTTAGGACAAATGGTAATTTTGGAATTTTTAACCTGTTGCCGAACCATCTCTTTTAAGTCCCTTCTAAAGAGTTCCTTCAGCTGCAGGTACTGCAGATTCCAGTGCTCCTGCTCTTGCAGCAGGGCCGTCTTCTCCACAAATACTTGTCTTAATTCCTTCTTGAGTGTTCCCCTAATTTCCTCTAGATCCTTTATGAGGAGTTTCCTCATCTTTGCATACCCTGTAGCCAATTCCTCCTTTATTAATTCCTTTATATAATTTCTGAGGGCTTCATTCAGTTGTGTGTGGTGCCAATCAGCTTGCTCCTTCACGTCCTCCTTCCTCCTGACCAAAGGAATTCTTGAATGCACACGTGCATCTATTCCATCACATTTCTTCTTTTCCTCAGTCATTTTCTGCTGATGAGAAAAAGGAGATTAGTTCGCTTGACTTCATTCTCACATTTGTTGTTGTTGTTTGGGGTGCTTGTTCACAAAATGGCTTTGTCCTTACAGGTTGTAGGGAGCAGATGGGGAAAGCAGGAAGCACATTTTAACAGTTCAGTTTCTTCATAAGTTTGGCTACTCAAGTCACTAGGCTATCATCAGCAGAAAGCCATGAACCAACAAACTTGCTCAGTGTTAACTGAAATAAATTTAATTTTGTTAAATTTGCCAAAAATAGTGACTTGGATGATTTTTAACATTACAAAACAATTCTTGAACAATGGGTTTTGTATTGTTAATCTTTGATGTCTAGTAGGGTCATTGTGGTCCTGTTATAAATAACTCCATTTTGACTGTTTTTATGTATGCATATGTATATGTATAAAAGGGTGTGTGTGTGTGTGTGTGTGTGTGTGTGTGTGTGTGTGTGTGTGTGTGTGTATGTCCTTTAGCTGCTCTTTCTGCAGGGATACCTGGCTAAGTGTTGATTTTATCTCTCAGTACAGGCAGTAAAGACAATTAGAAACTGGGGTAGAACTGATTCTATAAACTTGACATAAATGTGAATGGTACAAATTTCAGTTCTAGAGAATAAATTCTTTTTAAGTTATCCTAACATGCTGGTTATTATGGACACATTGTTCATAATGTCAATCACCTTGTCAGGAGGCTTAAGCTTATCATACATATATCATTAGAGGACATTATATAAGTGAGAGAGTGCAAATTTTTCAGAATAAAATTTACCTCAATTGTAAAGACTATTTAAGATAAGGTTTCACAGGAAATTACTAGATTTTAAGAGTTTATGTTTATTTTAATTTGTTTATGTATACGTGTGCCTGACTGTCTCCATGTGTGGGCTGAAGCTCTTGGAGGCCTGAATCAGGCATCAGATCTGTGGAATTGGAATTACAGGTGGTTGTATGCTACTATGTAAGTGCTGGGAACTAAATTCAGGTCTTCTTGAAGGAATAGTAAGGGCTTTAAATTCTGAGCTATCTCTTCAGTCCTTTTAAAAATTAAGTTTATAGTTTATGTGTAAAGATTTTATGCCTTATAAAGTATTTCTAGAAAAATGTTAGGCAAAATATTAGAAATAAAGATACAATGCTTTATGAAGGAAAATTCAGATATTATTGATATGGATTGCATTTAGAATGATAAATTGACCAGGTTAGTGCACATTTCAGGCATGAGAGGAATATAATATGTTTGACAGTAATGTACCAAACTACAACCACTATATGTTTCATGGAAATATGATTATAGTATAAATGAAGTACAAGAATTTTTTAGGGTTGGATTCAAATCCATTGTTTGATGCTAGGAAACATCTACTATCCTGTAAACAAAAGTTCTTACAATTACCAGTGTCTAATACCTAGTATGCAATCCCATTTTCAAGAATTAACATGTAATTTAAACTTTCTTAATATGAATTAATACAAACCATCTGGAAAATACTAAAATTTTTATCACAGTGGATGACAGAGTTTAAGTTTAGTTACTTATAGAGGGAGAGTAGATGACATTTGCTGTGAGATTGTGCCTCCTAGAAAAGTCAAAGTAGCTACACCCATAAAGTCTTATCAACATGGCTGCCTAAACATGACCTGAACAAAAATGATATCAATAGACAGCTAACATAGAAGGGCAAAAGGTCACAGGGCCACACCTCTATATAAAGAACTATGGGTGAGTGGGGAATGCTAAGGAGTGGAGAGATGGTCTTCTCCAGGAAAGCACCTCCCTCAATGAATCATCTAATACCAGTGGTCAGCCCTGAGGTATACATACATGTAAAATTATATTGATTGAGCAGGTTGTATTCATATATTTAAGAGTGTGTGTGTATTGTGTGTATATGTGTGTGTGTGTGTGTGTGTGTGTGTGTGTGTGTGTGTGTGTGTGTGTAAAAACATAAAGAGAGACCATAAATTTGAGAGCAAGGGGGAGTCTATGGGAGGAGTTGGGGGAGAAAAATGAAGGGAAGTAAATGATATAATTATATTATTATTTCAGAAAATATTAATTAAAGAAAAAAAGCACAAATTAGATTTTTAGCAAACCAATGCATTTGTGTGGCTCATATAGAAGGGAAACCTTCTGCATAGGTACTGATCAATGACATGGCTCAAAGCATACTGGATTCAATTCCTTATAGGTAATTGAAAGTCCAGATTGTTGAAGAAACCTCTGGAATTGTAATGTCTAATTCAGTTTGTGTAAGTAACTACATGTATCTTCTCTGGGCCACATATCTCTTTTGGTGAGTTGATTTTGAAATAGTGTGTGCAAAGCAAATACATGCATGTGAAATAGTTTCTTCTTTTAATATCCAGTTTTCTCAAAACCTGCAAGATGAGGCCGAGGTGATGGCTCAATGGATGTTTCTTTCTGTTTCTGTCATAAAAAGCATGACCAAAAGCAACAGGCAAGGAAAGGAATTATTTGGCTTCTATACCCTGGGTCACAATCTAGTGAAGGAAGTCAAGACAGAAACTCAAAGTAGGAACTTAAGAAGAAGCCATGGACCCATTAGCTGCTTACTGGTTTGCTCCTCATGACTTTCTCAGCATGTTTTCAGATATGACCCAAGACTGTCTGCCCAAGGGTAGCACTGTCCATCCTAAACTGGGTCCTTGCACATCAATCATTAAGCAAGAAAATGCCCGACACACTTGCCTACATGCAATCTGTTGGAGAGACTTTCCCAACTGAAGTTCCTCTTCAATGTCATGACGCTGTTTACTTAATGGAGAAAACAGGTAATAGAGCAGAATGATGGGCAGGCAAGAATCAGGAAATGGTAAAAGCCAATGTCTTCGTTTGTTACTCGAAATCTGAGGTACCCAGAAAACTTAGAAGGCACAACTGAGTATCAATGTATACATAATGAAAGGTGCATATGGATTTAAAGGGTAAATATTTGTAAAACACAATAAACTTATACCTTCAAGATGAAAACTTATACAAATTCTGGATTATTTAATGTAAAAGCAAGGGAGATACAAGCTTGAGTAGTCAACTATTTGCTGTGGGATGCCCTGTATGTTGTGAATAAATAAAACGCTGATTGGCCAGTAGCCAGGCAGGAAGTATAGGATAGGCAGGACAAACAGAGAGGAGAGGCTGGGACGTGGAAGTCTGGGAGGGACGCCAGCCTGCCATCCAGGTAGCAGCATGTAAAGCCACAGAACACATGGCGACATATAGATTAACAAAAATGGGCTGAGTATAAGAGTAAGGGCTAGACAGTGGTAGGCCTGAGCTAATGGCCGAGCAGTCTAAATAATATAAGCGTCTATATGTTCGTTTATTTTATAAGTGGGGTACGGGACTGCTGGGGCTTGGCAGGGCCTGGAGAGAAAAACTCTAGCTACAACTATTCAAGTAGATAAGTCAACAGTGGGAAAACTGTGGTGCTATTTTCATTTCAGTCACATGATCCTAGACGCCCAGACACCTTTGGTTCACTAGACTTTGCCATGTGTCTACTGGCTAACCCCCAGTTCCTTATATACACTTCGTTCTGGTATCACTTGCAGAGCTGCCATGTTGCTTCCTTTCATATCAACTGTAACGACTCCTGGGCCTTTATTTTTACTATTATTTACTTTCACCATAATTGTATAAATTTTCCTTATGGTGTTAAAAACATGTTTGATTTTTAGTTTGTTATCTTTAGAGTCTAGTTTATTTTTGCTTAAACCTTAGATGATGACTGGCCAGTGTATTCCTGGGACTGGGAGCATGAGGAAATGCAAGTTATTTTCATGATTTAGGTTTTGCTGTTGTTTGGAAAATATCTACTCTACTTCAGAGATGGGCAGTCCAGATGCATCTTTTCCTACATGCTCAAATATATGCAATTTTCAGATCAGAGGGAACAGAATTACCTTTAAGTATGCTTTCTCTTTGGGCTTACTGGGAATTGGCACTCTGTTAGAACAGATGTTACTTTCAGACTTTTCATACATTTTACGCATTTTCCTCTTCAAATCTTTCTTGAGAAGTTCGTTAAGACATGCATACTGGTGTGCACTCATCTGGGCCCACATCTCCTCCTTACTCTTTTTTGCAGAGAAATGATCTGATTGTGTGGATGTGTATTCTTGTTTTGAGGACATTTTCTGCTGAGGAGAAGATGGAAGATTAATTTGATTTGCTTCAGTCTCAGTGTTCTTTATTTGGGGTGCTTGTATTTTAAAATGACTGTAACTTTATAAGACAAAGGTTAAGGAGACAGTGAAAGCAGAAAATAATTGGTAATTAACAGTTAAATTTATCCATATCTATGCGCAGCTACCCAAAAATCACTAGGCTATCATTAAAAGCTGAAATCATTTGCATTAAGTAAGAGCCTAGGACTTCTACATTTGGGGTTTCAGTGCTATTTACCAGGCACTACTTACTATACAGGAGAAAAAGGATAACAGAGCAGAATATTAGCCAGACAAGTATCAGGGAACACTAAAGGGCAATGTCTTCAGGTTGTTCCACGAAGTCTGAGGCACCCAGAGTACTTGTAAGGCATAACTGAATTGCTACATGGGAGAATGATAGCTTTAATTGCAAAATGCATATGTTCTCCAGAAGATATATTTGCAAGATACACTGAACATAACTAAAAAATGTGTGTGTGTTCCTGAGGGGTCACCAACTGGATCAGGCCCTCTGAATGGGTGAGACAGTTGATTGGCTTGATCTGTTTGGGAGGCATCCAGGCAGTGGGACCGGGTCCTGTGCTCATTGCATGAGTCGGCTGTTTGAAACCTGGGGCCTATGCAGGATCGCTTGGCTCGGCCTGGGAGGAGGGGACTGGACCTACCTGGACTGAGTCTACCAGGTTGATCTCAGTCTGCGGGGAAGGCTTTGCCCTGGATGAGATGGGAATTGGGGGAGGGCTGGGGGGAAGTTGAGGGGTGCGGGAGGGGGGAGAACAAGGGAATCCGTGGCTGATATGT